GTCTCAGATCTGTCAGAAACGGCCCGGGCGCGGTTCTGTGTTCGTCCTCCGTGCAGCTCCTGATGCTACGCTTTGTTTTTCTTTGTCCCAGATACACAGCCTCCAGTTTCCGCGCTGCAGACGACCGGCTGCCCTACGGAAGCATGCCTCGCCTCAACGACCAATCGCAGTCGAGACAGTGCAGCACCAATCGCCTGGACAGCCTATCGCGCCACGGCTCCACACAGCGACTGGAGAGCCAATCGCGGCACAGCAGCGTCAGGGACCTGAGCAGCGTCACCCAAGCTGTTCTCGGTGTCCCTGGTAACGGGATCCACAGGGTCCTGGAGGAGGACGGAGCTACGGCCTGAACAGGAACCCAACTGCATACTTCCGAAGAAGCTGTGTCAGATGGGTAGAAGGGAAAGTAGGAAAGAATGTGAGGGGATCCACAGTGAGCGACAGAACGCAGACACTGTGACACCCGCTCCCGTTGAACTCAGAGCTGAAGCTCAGCGCTCCAGTTTACTGATGAAGTTAGATTAGAGCTACATCCGGCCATATGTAGAGGACTGAGTGTGGATCGATGCCTTAAACCGTCCTCTCAGCTTTACTCCACCTACTAGCTGATCCAAAAACTAAAGTTCAAAATGATTTTTGTCCAGTTTACAAAACTACGATGGACTCTGGTCCTGATGGTGACCTGTGGATAGCAAACACTGGAAAATGATGACAATGCTGCACTGTTGGACCTACGTTACTGAGCCAAGAACAAAGTGTGACCAACACTGTCAGACTGCACTAGATCAGTTTTTTACTTGTACTGTATTGTTTGTATAAAGGACTCTGAACAGGATCTGAATGACGGGACACATCACGAGTCTTCTCTACTAGTCTGTGCTGTTCAGCACTCGGGAGAGTGGAAGCAGGGTACTTTTTAAAGAATTTACCAGCTACATTTCAGCTGTTTTTCACTCTTCCGCTGCTGACGTCTCCATTCTTTTTCAAATTGTAACTTAACCTGTTAAAAACCCTATTTATAAAGGCATTGTTTCACAGCTACATTCAAAATCCATCCACATGAAAAGTAAAAGAAGGAGAGAGCCCCTGAACAAGAGCCCTCTCACATGTTTAAAACAGTTTTTTTATTGAGGTACTTCACTGCTTCATGATGAGAAGAAACATGTTTGAGGTTTTCCAGGATTCAAGGGCTGAAATACGGGAAAGAGCTGAATCCAAACTCCTGCCTTATGACTGTGTGTTCAGACAGAAGTAAATGTTACAGGCTGTGTGATCGCATCAAGTCAATGGAAAGAATGTGTTAATGAATCTGTTTTAGAAAACGTAGCAAGATGAGGAAGAACTAGAGGCTGGACTGAACACACACTCTCTCACACACACACACACACACACACTCTGTGTCCAGTGCCAGCTAGTTTACAGCGAACAGTCGGTACAGCGGCTGTCTGGAGCGATAAACGGTGCAGCAGTCGAACTCGCATTACAGACGCGAGGCAACCATTGGCTTCTTCTGTCTGAACACACCTTTACAGTTTGAATAGATGGTAGTGCGCCCGTAAATTAGAGTCAATTTCCAGGTAGTTTGTGCCGTTTAAAATGTGTCCTTACTTGTATAGCTGCTGTAAAATGTTAGACCAACATTTCCTCTACTGGCAAAACTTGTGAATAGATGTGAAATCTGAACTTTTCTTGTTCATTTGTAATAAAGTTTTTTTTAAAGAATGGACATATTATATTTATGAAGTAATGACCACACAGTAACACACTGGGATTGTATTTGTAACAGCCCTCCGCTTTATTGAAATACATCGGAGTCAGGTTAATATGAGTTCTCCACATAAGTGTGGCAGCCAGTTCCATACATTATTTTTGTTTTGACCTTACACCTTAAATATTTTTTTTGTGCAAAAAAGAATCTACATCACCTGTAGTGGGTTATCCTCAGTAAAACGCCCAAACCGTTCAAAAAGGAGCAAGTCCAAGTAAAACAACAAACCGAAAACAAAAATGATTACATCTATAACATGCAAAACTGTACAAATTATTACAAAGCAATCCTAGAAAAAAAAACAAAGTGTAATATGATATGAAAGAGCAAAATAATATAGAAGGTACTGTAGATAAGACCTCACTGAAATGCAAAGGCGTTTGAATTTTTTTTGATTTTCCTTCTCTTAAATGTTTCCACTGTGGCACCTCAGCCATCAAAGCACCTGTCACCCTTTCATCTTTTTTCATTTTTCTTTTTTCTTTAACATCTTCTAGTCCTCACCACCTTTCCTTCCTGCTGTCTCCACCCAGGTCACATCTACTGTACACTACAGCCAGATTCATCTCTCCCTCACTCACTCCAGCCATCCATCCATCCATCCATCAAACACACTCATTTTCATCGAAATGAAAATAATTCATTGGTTCTGACATTTCCTGAGTTTCTCTTCCCCTAACCTTTAACTGGGGTATGTAGGATCAGTTTTTCTGTACAATATTGGCCAATAATAAAACACCTGGCTAAGACAGTTCTCTCACCCCCACCTAATACATTCTACAGATAAACTCCAGCAGGAACTAAGGAGACTCACTAGCTTAAAAAGTTTCTAAGAGGTGTTTGTTTGGAATAAAAACCAGCTTAGTCGCACTGTGGAGCTCCAAACCTCTCCCCCTCTCTTCATATAAAATGGAATACTAAAAAAAACACTTGGAATGGGTTGTTAGAGCTACTTTTGTTTCAACGGGGGAATCGACAGGAATGACCACCAAAGTTTTTGTTTCCCTTTCTAACAGACTGACAGGCGGAATAAACTGGAGGATTCTGACTCGGACGCTGTACTGTACATTAGGCAATCAGCCTGTTCCCACAGAGGAGGAACCGGTTTCTCAAAAAGCCTCTGATGAGGACTAAAGACAACGCCAGTACGAGAGTACGGGGTGTTCTTCTTACAGATAAAACCACATTATAGTTAGTGTTTAATGTCAGGACAGTTTGAGCTCGGTGCACATTGTTCCCTTACACTTTTACCCCATTCTGCCCCGTGAGCAACCGCTCAAGTAAAATGCCTTTCGATCTGCCTGTAAACTGGAGGAGATGAACAGAGGTAACAGGTTTTTGGCTGTGAATGCCGTGCTCTGCAGCCATGAGCTGCCACACTGTAAAATGCTCTTTTCAGAGGCCTGTCCACCCTGCCAAAGAGAAACTGCCCGGAGGAGGGGGGTTAGAGATCCAGCCCTGTTCATTTTACAGACAAGTAGCACTGAGGTTATTTTAACTGCGCCTTATCAAGACAAACGGAAACCAAGTGCTGACTTTCTCGCAGCTTGTAAGTGTTTACATTCTCATTTTAGTGTTTTTATTCTTAAATCAAGAGCTCTTACAAATGTCGCTGTGAAACGAGCAGATCAACCAAACCTCCTTCAGAATATGCAAAGGCTGTCCAAAAGACAAAACATCACAGCGTCTCCCTCTTTTTGTCCATTTTTGGTTAAATCGAGCTCAGTGGAAGGACTGATCTTTCCATCCAGACACCACAGTGAATTTAAACACACACGTTGATTAAATGATCAGAGCCGCTTCACCTCTAACAGCGAGAGGAGGAGCAGGACAAGGCATTGGCTGCATAAAAACACCACCTCAGAGTGAGTGTGTGTAGATACATGTGCGATAGGAGGTTAGGGTGATAAATGCACGTGTTCACTCTACAGTACGGGCAGTAGTGTCGATCCATACACGAGTTTTCTTCACTCAAACGCAAACACAGTCGGGGGAAAAGGAGGAAAAAAAACAATGCGTGTCATACATACAATATAAAACAAACATCTAAAATCAATCGGTAAAAAAAGAAAACTGGAAAGTGGTTTAAAATGGCTTTTTGTGTGAATACAACCCCAAATCACTCTCAAAAACAAACAAAGGAAAATAAAAGTGAAGGAGAATTTTTTTCTTTCCCGTGTAGTTCTCTATAGTATTTTCCTTATCATATATTACTCTCTACTTTGAACCTATGTACATTATTGTGATGGGAACCTGTGAGTTGGTCAGTTTGGTTGTACAGCAAAGTGGAACGTCTACACTACGATGGAGGACGCGGTCCGGGGCTGCTGGATGATGTCGCTCACACTGGACCAATGAGGAAGAGAGTAGCACAGAGGAGCTGTGATGATGTCATAGGAGCCGGCATTATTAACGCTGCTTTTTGCTGATGGTCAAAAAGAAGAAATATTATAAAGTCACTGCACTTAGTATCATGAGCAAAAGAAAAAAAAATCATTGCTTTCCCTTCTCTCTCTTTTTTTTTTTTAACATTTTCAATTTCTGCAGCACCCAAAGAGAAAGCAACTGAGGGAGGTGAGGAGGGGTCTAAACTCCACCCGTCTGATTCCGGTGATGAAGCGAACCTCCCTTTCCTTGTCTAAGATTGATAAATAAATTAAAATATTGTCCCCTAAAACCCAAAGGGTCCTATGTACAAGTACAAATCATTTTCTCTCAATAATAATCCTCTTCTTTTTTTGTTGCTTTGGGAGGTTTTTGAGTCTCTGAATGAATCGGGGGGGGGGGGGCGCGTGGCGGGGGGGGGGGGGGGGGGCGGACAGAGTGGCGTCGGTGAAGCTCGATGCTTCGGTTGAGAGCAAACCAAGAGTCGAGAAGGGAGGTTTTCATTCCTATATCATTTGCCCTTTCTGAATTAACACATGCACACACGCTGGCCAAGCACATACAGCTTCTCTCAAACACACACGCACACACAAACACACGCACACACTTGCACCCTCAAACATCAGCACCCACATGTACACTTCCACTAATTTTTGATAACGTCTCCCTCACAATTTCCCTCAAAGAGACGACAGACTCTTAGTGTTTCTTGCCTCGGTCTTGGAAGTACGATGAGAGACAAACTGAGGTTGCAAAGGGGGACAAATGTTCGTCAGGAGGTGCAGTTCTCTGGGCAGTGAGGGGGGAGATATTCAGAAAGGATGCGAGAGGCTGCGGTGGAGGAGGAGGGTTTGGAGTCCTGTGCTGTCGGTCGGTCGGTCGGTCGGTCGGTCGGTGGGCGGGAGCGAGAGGCTGGCGGAGGCTCATGTGTCCCAGCCCATCCGGTCTGTGCTCTCCAGGGACAGGGACTTGGTTTTGTGTGGGGAGGCCGGACTGGGAGGGCTGCTGAAGGTGGAGCTGTTGGAGGCCGTGGAGTGACGGGGGGAGTCCGAGTCCTGGAAGAGGAGAGGAGAGGCAACGAGCGAAGAAAGAGAGAGTTGGAGATGAAGTTTGGAGAAAAAAGGGACAAGGAAAAAATCCTGCATTAGATGATGAAAGTAATACTGTATGACATTTATATCAGCAGCTATAGTGGAGGCTGGCTTTCTGTCCGGGGCTAATAAACATAAACTAAATGATTAAGACACTTTATTTTACTGTCTGACTGTGGGGTGATGCCTCTGCTCTACACTCTCTCTGCTTGTTATCAATGTGCAGTTTGTGACCCCCGCCCCCACCTCGCCTTCCACTGCATTCCACATCATCAGCAGATGAACAGCTCAATTGACCAGAAGTGATCAGCTGAAGAAAAACAAACATGCAGGCAGGCCAGATGACAGGGCGGAGTGGGGGTGGTGGTGGTGGGGGGGATGTGGGTTTAACCTTCATACTGTACAACACATACAGTATGCCCTGCATCGCCCCTAATGTGCTACGGCTTCCCTCTGAACCAGGAGGTTGAGGGTGTGAGGTACAGAATGTATGGCTCTCCTTCCAGCTCAGTGAGAAAGTCCTCAGGTTGCGG